CCCCCCCCCCCCCCCCCCCCCCAGTATATTGTTCTCTGTCTTCCATGGGCAACAATCTGGTCCTATCAAAGCTATGTTTACTTGGAACTTCGACATTGTCAAGGGTAACACGAAGACTACTGAAATTATTTTCTCTTTTTAGGAACTAAAAACTGCACTCAACAGCTCTCATGGAAAAGTCAAGGACATGGCTTGAGTAGATGCTTTTACTGCTGATGATAAACACTTCTAGTAACAAAGATCAGCTTCTACAGACTCTAGGAATGTAGCCATATGCTCCATTCAGAAGTTCAGAAGTTTAAATACTGAAATTCACAACAACAAATGTTATTATTCTACCATATCAACAAACTGTAAAACAAACACAGAGAAAAGAATAAAACATATTCATAATAAATAATCACCCCGCATTCAGTCAACCCCAACCTAGGGTAGTCTATCCTTTTTGATATGGCCTTTCATACAAAAATGTAAGTATTGCAAAATTTGTCCAACATAACCTGCTTTTTATGCTGGACTGTGGATGCCACATGTCCTGGGTTTACATAATGACCTGTCAGGCACAAAGAATCAGGACCATATGTTAACTTGCAGTTCGCTTTATCACTCAAACATATCCATAAGAATCTAGTTAACTAAAGTGCAAGATTAAATTAATCCCACATAAGGGTCAATGGAATTCAATAGGGGTTGGACTTAGACCATTTGTGGGAAAGTAATGACTCTAGCCTGATGACTTGCTTGACTCCCCCACCTCTGCCTGATCTTCTCTTGCACAATCCTTGCTTTCTCCCAGGATGCTTGTTTTCCTTATTGATAGCTCCAGCCTGTCAAATTGTAATTTGAACCTTTATAGGAAGGCAGGAATCTTGATTCTTGCACCAGGAATTTTATGGGTATTTTACTCAGTCTGTTTTGCTTTTTTGGGGGGTGGGGGATGCATGAGTATATCAGCTGAGAGGTACAGAGTATTTGAATATTTGAAAAGCATCTGGACATCAGTGGATGCATAGTGCATTAGTTTCACTTTGGAAGCAAGACCAGGCAATGTAGAATTCCAAGATCCGGGGATAAATCTAGATGGGAATAATTTTAGCAGCATTTCTCTTAATGTATTATTCAAGTGCTACGTGAGGACTTTTACCCAGAGGCACATAATATAAACTGGTTGCCATGCATCTCATTGATGCTCTGGTTCTTATCTTTTCTATCTGTTCTTTCTTAAAAAAGAAAAAGAAAGAAACTCAATGCAACTCTAGAATATACAGAAGAGAGCCACAAAGATGCAGCTGCTCAAAATCTCAGAAGGTTCCAGATAAATGGCAACCAATGTGATAAAACCAAAGATACACTGATGAGAAGATGAGAGAAAGCTGCAACAGCTATTACAAAATAAAAGATAGCAACAGTGTGCATAAGCAAATCAGTGTATACATGTGCAGATTGGGCAGAAAGTTATCTGAGGAATTTGAACTTGGAGATGAAATTGATCTGAACTGTACTTCCTAGAGAAATGTCCAGATCCAAATTCATGTATTAACCTGCTTTGAATGTGTCCAAATATCTCAGGGAAGTTCTTAGCTCAAAAATAAAAATAAAAACCATTTTAAAATCTGTATTTTAGACATTCATATTTACTGTATCAGATAGATAGATAGATAGATGATAGATAGATAGATAGATAGATAGAT